GGGAAACTGGTCAGAATTTAAGGAATGATGGATGGCGCTAAATACAGGGAAATTCTTGAGGGAAACCTGTTTCAGTCTTCCAGAGATTTGCGACTGGGACTGAGGTTCACCTTCCAGCAGGACAATGACCCTAAGCATACTGCTAAAGCAACACTCGAGTGGTTTAAGGGGAAACATTTAAATGTCTTGGAATGGCCTAGTCAAAGCCCAGTCCTCAATCCAATTGAGAATCTGTGGTATGACTTAAAGATTGCTGTACACCAGCGGAACCCAAACAACTTGAAGGAGCTGGAGCAGTTTTGCCTTGAAGAATGGGCAAAAATCCCAGTGGCTAGATGTGCCAAGCTTATAGAGACATACCCCAAGAGACTTGCAGCTGTAATTGCTGCAAAAGGTGGCTCTACAAAGTATTGACTTTGGGGAGGTGAATAGTTATGCACGCTCAGGTTTTCAGTGTTTTTGTCTTATTTCATGTTTGTTTCACAATAAAAAATATTTTGCATCTTCAAAGTGGTAGGCATGTTGTGTAAATCAAATGATACAAACTATTTTAATTCCAGGTTGTAAGGCAACAAAATAGGAAACATGCCAAGGGGAGTGAATACTTTCGCAAGCCACTGTATTTTCAAATACCTGGGTTAAATGTATAGGAATGTATTTGAGTCAGTGTATTTGATGTTACACAAATGTATTCATCTCAAAGAGTTTCTATTTTGAGTTCGTTTTGCATAGTCCTGTGCCCCATTTGAGAGGAGTTTGCACATTTTAATTTAGACCATTCCATTGGCCCTAAAGTGAAAACTCCACTAATCCGGGGCACCGTGAGATGCAAATCGAACTCGCCCTAGCTCTCGCTGCTCATGTTGAGCATGTACCCATGTGCCGGCCCATAAACTATGACTACGTCATCGTCATACGTAAACAAGATTACTACAAACCCATGACAGGATTAAACAGATGGGTATACAGATAAGATTTACTTGGAATCCCAGCCCATGTGGGGTGGAGGGGAACGAGGCAGAAGATGAACTGGCTAAACAAGCAATTAGTAGTGGGGAAGTTGATGTTGAAGTTCCAATGAGCAAGGCAGAGGCAAAAAGACTGACATATACAGTGATGGTGCAGAGATGGCAGGAGCAGTGGAATAGAGATAATAAGGGAAGGCATATACAGTATTTCAAGTACAGAGGAAAGTCGGTGAGGGGAGGGAAGGACGGCAGGAAGGGACAGAAGAGAGGAGGCTATTTTTACAAGATTAAGGGTGGGACACAGCCAGTTGAATAAGACATTAAATGTGATAGGAAAGCATCCAACAGGAAAGTGTGATTATTGTCAGGAAACAGAGACCGTGGAGCATGTATTGCTACAGTGTGGCCAGTATCAGATGGAAAGAGAGAGGATGAGATCTAGTATGAGGGAGAAGGGGATACAGGAAATTAGTTTAAATAGTATATTGAGTAGAACGTCATTAGATATAGTCTCAAATAGTTTGTTATCTTTTTTAAGAGCAACGGGGCTGGCAGGTAGGATTTAGTTTCTCCCTGTCTCTGCCCCACACTCCAGGACAGTAGGTGGCGGTAATGCACCATAACGTTGGATGCCAACTGCAGATAAACCCCACTGAGAAAAAGAGTACGAAACAAAGAGAATTACC